TAGAGGAAGTTAAAGTTTCACTCAACTGACAAGCTGTATTCTTGAAATGCCCTTTTTGGAATTCCTCTTTAGGAATTTTTTTGAAAAGAAAAAGTTTTAAAATATTTTGGGATATAATTTTAACTATTAATTATAAAAATGTTCAACTGTGTAGAAACAAGAAACAGATTGAAAGATGTATGCTGGTGACTAAACAGTCCATAAGCTCAAAGTAATAGACTGTGAAAAATCTCACAGCAAGCTTCCTTCTATTGTCATGATTCAACAGCTGGAACTTACAATGATGCTTGCATCTGCAGTCAACTGAGAAATCCTGACAGGGTGAGGCAGTGGAGGTGTGATAATGGTGGTTACCTTGAAAGCCTGTATAGACTCTGAAGGAACCTTTGAAGCTTAAACTGTTGAAAGACTGGTATGAAGTGGTATCTGTACTACAATATTATACAGCTACCTTTAAAATCCCTCAATCTTATAACACACAATTCACAAATACGCAAAGTTCCTAGCTGTAAAATACATTAGGGCAATTTAAAACCTAAGTCAATTGGAATGAACATCAAGTAGGAGAAGAAAGAATTCTGTGACTTGAGAGTGCTCCATGCATTTATAAATCACATAGTATTTTGGTTTTCTTTTTTAATTCCTACATCTAGGAAGAGAAAGAAAAAGCTCTTCTAAGTTTTTCTTTGATTGCATGGGAGATTATCTTAATTATACAATTAAGAGCAAAAGAAAATAGAATTAAGTGACCCTGAGCGTTTCAGTGACTTAAGTGAATTAAAATAATTTATTATCAAAACAGAAGTGCCATAAAAAGACCCATGATCTGTTAAGAGAGAAGTTGAGATCAGGATAATACTACTTAAGAAGGATAAAAGAAAGGTGTCCTACTTTCTCTCATTCCTGTCTTTCCTATAAAAAGATGCTGGGTTCACTTGCAAAGAAGGAATCAACAGTAAGCAAGTTTTTCAACCCCTTTATTATTTTCCAGGTAACTTCTGCATCCTAGCAAAATTCTTGATCTCTCTTCTCAGGCTGTCAGTATGGATTCTAGCCTGTTTACACACAGTACTAGCAGCATTCCAGGCAGTTTCTCTGATCGTTATCTAAACTTGCAAAAAAACGAGCTGCTATGTAAACTCCATATGGCCTGTGTGGCATTTAAGAGACTCCGGCAAATTGTTCTTTTCTTTTTATGAATAACAAAGCAGCTCTTCATTATTACTTCTCTTCCTATAATTAACCCAGAAAATACGGGTATATAATTTTGTAGATTGATGAGGCATCACAGAAAAATAACACAAATCATACTCTGCTCCTCATAATGGAAACTGTTCCTGAGAAAGCCTTACCTACATTTCAATATTTTTGCAGAGAAGACTAGAATCTCAAATATGCAGCAACACTCCCCAAACAATTGTAAAACCAGAATCTCACCTTTACAACATTACTGTTCAGTTAGATTAAATCTGTAGTCAAGTTCAAGGCTCTTCACTAACATGAGACACATGGCACATCTCAACAGCTTCTTCTCCTGATTGATTAACAATTGTCATTTAACTTCAACTTTTTCTTAGGATAAATTGAACACTTAAAATACATCTTGAAAAATCACAGAAAAGTTACTACACTAAATTACGTACTGTTTCAATATTTGTACTTTTAGGTCAGAAGGTATTAGAAAAACCTCCATCTTCTTAGTAGTACATCTTAACAAACCTGCTCATCTGGTACTGCATTAAAAAATGTTAGAAGAAGTGTAAGAACAATGCAAACAAAATAACTTACAGCAATTTATGTAATTATCACAGTTTCTCTATAATACTAATATGTTCCATAAATGAAAAGCATGAAAATATTGGGCAGCGTATAGCAACTTGAGAGTTGCACTCTACTCTTTCTGGAGCTTATCTGAATCATTTCCTCTCTTTCAATGCAAAACATAAAATTAATTGCCTGATACTTCAATTAAGACTTATTTTACTACATTGTAAAATAATACATGACTCTTTGGCATGCTGTTCTAAATACCTATATTCTAACAGCATTTGAAACCTGCTTTTGGACAGTGGAGTGCTAGAAGAGGAAACCAGCAATCAAGATACTGTTGGTTTTTTTTTCTATTGTGTAGACTCAACACGAGTCAGAATCAGTTGGGACAGATTTGTGACACTACTGTCTCCAGGTAAAGTTTTATGCTGTAAACCAAGTTTACAGGCTCCTTACGTGAATATCCAACTGCTTTTAATCCTCCACTACATGCATATCACTTACTATGTATGTGCAGTTGTTCACTAAAAAATAAAAACAAAAAATACAAATTATGGAAAAAAACACATTATTGTAAAACGTCTATTTGCTTTTGTTACATGATAGTCTAGAAGCCAAGCAGCAACTTCAATACCGTGCCTTTGAAAGGATCTAGGTAGTAGTTTTTTTCAATTATTAATGCTACGTCATTTAAGTCAAAAAGTATAAATCTATTATTTACAAGTATGCTTTAAAGGTTATTACAGATTTATCCATTATGCAGCCAGAAATCAACTTTTTAAAACTAAACGTTTTGCTAAACTGCTTTTTCAAAGCAGCTATTTACCATAACTTAGGCCTGTAATTTAAGGTTTTTTTCTGTAGGCCCCTGTTAATGTACAAAGACATAAACTGTTTATACTTTAAAATGGAAAGGTAACTCAATTTAAATAAAAGTTGTTTTTTAATCAATTATAAGACCAGCATATAGAAAGCAATAATAAACATAATTATACAATAAGCACATTCTGAAACAAATTTATAGAAAATATCTGCAAAATAATGCTCCTTAGAACAGTGACCAGGGGTTTCTTGTCAGTAGGTAACCATCAGAAACTACTGAGATCTTCATCTGTGCTGTGTCTGTCAAAAAGAATACGAAACTATTGGCAGAACATCATCTTTCGTTTTCACAGATTGTTTCTAATGCGTCTTTACTTGCACAGTGATGCCAGCTGCTTATCCAGAAAACTTGAAAACACAGCTTTTTAAAAATATATTCTATTATTTTCTTCTTATATTAAAATGCATATCACTCAATCACGGTTTTCTAAAATGTAAAAAGTATTGTATTTCATGTAGGTCAGTGGGCATATTTTATTAGAATTTTAAAGCACATATTTCTTAAATTACTGGCTATGACCCCTGAGTGCTTTGAAGAAACCATCTTTTACCAGTTTACTGGATTCCGTCAAATTACTAAAAGTATCACACAAAACTTACATTAAAAAAAAATTAAGTCTCTTACACTTATGTTTTCAATCTGACTTATAAAACCTTCTAAGAATATAAAATCTAAGACTGGGTAATCATCAGTAGTATCATTCTAAAAGTATGGTTAAAGAAATAATAAAAAAAATGTTTCTTGTTTCTAGGCCTTCTATCTCAGTCAATTTAAAAGATTGCTCTTTCCACTACATGTCTCAGAAGCAAGAAGGACTAGACTGACATCACACCCACACACACTCGAAAAAATCACCACAGTCGGCTAACAAACTATTCCTCCCCTTTCCACCTATGAAGGCTCCTGCAGGAATGCATGCACGACAAGGCCAACAACTGACTTGGCTCCAAAGGTGTCTACCAGGGGAAGGGAGATCATCTGAATTATTTCTGCATGAAACAAAAGATGCACAGATGCTTAAATACAAATTTGCATCTTCTCTGCTGTTTCCACTGATGCACAGTTACATAAATGCAACTACGTATCCAGATGTCATAAATTCTTTTCAGGTTTGGGACAGTGCAGGGGGAAAAAAAAGAAAAAAGAAATAACAACAGAATCACTGAATTGCAATCCGAAACTGCAATGAAAAGCAATCATATCACAGCAGCTTGAAAAGCACAGTAAATACATGGGAAATTTTGTTTCCCCAAAAAGGGGAAACAATAAAAAGAACACAAGAAAATTAACACGGGGAAGTTCCATGTCTAATGGAGCTGTTGCTAGTTTTTTTCCCCATGGAGAAAATAGTCAGATACGAACTATAACCCTTCTCAGACAGACACAGAATAGAGTTCTAACCCACTCCGTGCCATTTTCAAGTTATTACAAAGAATTCCAGAGTTAAACTCCCTAATTAAAGAATTATTATAAAGTATTAAAGTATGTTCAAGACAAAACACAGACAAAAACCTACCACCATTCAAAGCATTGAATATCAAATCTAAGCACTAATAATCATTATTTTAGGTGACCTCAACCAAACTTAACGGTAGAAAACAGGAAACTAAAATCAGAAGTACTTTCCTGAACTAATTTAAATGTTTTGTCCTTCATCTGCTAAATTCCTCAGAGTTGGCATCCTTATCTTCTCCAGACAGTTTGGTCAGTCTCAAAGTGTGGTAGACAAGTTTGAGTTCTCAGAAGAATATGGGAAAGTGTGATGACCTGGATGCAGCATGGCATGCCAGTACAATTTTTAGGTCAAATTCAGTGATAGATCAGTGTTGCAGTACTAAATAGTACTACAGGCCACCAAAATGACAAAATTTATAGAGAAGAAAATCAAGAGAGCGCTAAAATTGTTGAAAAGCCAGCTACTCATCCCAATAATTTGAGATTCTCTTCAGCCACTGGTGAGCAACATGAACACAAGATTCCAAAAATAAATGAAGAGCAACCTATGAACTAAGCATGTATTTTTATAAAGAAAAATATCTTACATAAAAATTACCCAAATCTGATTTATTAAATAGAAACACCGCTACATAAAATTACTGCTACAGGAAAAAACATGTAAATCTTAACAGGAGAAAAATGAAGATACGACTGAGATCCTGCGTAATAAATTCTATTGTCTTGAATGTCTACAGAAAAATCTGGAACAGCTTTGAAGAGCTTACTCTACTCCTAAGCTGGTACGTGATAGAAGAAAATCTCTAAGAATTTGCAGGAGGTTCATCATACAAATGCAAACACAGACATAGAACACAATGTATTTTATCAAAAAAGAAAGGGAAAAAATTACCTGGAACAAGTTCCATAACAATATAAATAGGTTGCCTTTGTGTGCAAACTCCTATGAGTTTTACAATATTAGGATGGTCATACTGTTTGAGTATTCTGAAAAACATACAGTAAGTTTATTATATTAATAAACTTTATCGTACAAACCAATTAAACAGAAAAATATCTTACACTCAATATTATTTTAATAGAATTTTCCGTAGAATTACTGTTATCAATTAAAAGATCAATGTCATAGACAAATCATTCTTCTGGTTGAGGGTATTTTTACTCAAAAATCAAGATCAACACTAGTAGTTCATTCTCACTGTAGTTTTAAAATGTTACATAGACAAATGTTATCTGTGTAACTGAAAAATATTCTGACAGGTTTGTAGTTTCTGAGGAACCCTTGTAATTAAACAGTATTTAAGTGATGTATCAGAAGAGAAGCTTTGTTGAAAATGCATGCACAGCATGCCTCTACATTTTCCTGCTGCACTTTTCAAATGCACACTCATTTCAGTTTTAATTCACAAGATTGATTGATATAGTAAGTCTTAAAAGAATAAAAATACCGCAATTTTCATCTCTGGAATTAAAGCAAAAACATTTACATCTTCTTACATGGTACTTTAATAAGAACTTACACAGCCTAAATCAGCGTGCTATGATCTGTAAGTGAACTGAAGGTCTAGGAAGAATTCCAGAGAGATCTTTTAACTTAAAAATGTTTCTTCTACAATTTGGTAACTTAAACCACCTAATCTTTTTCCTAATTTTTCTAGAAATGAGAGTGAAACTTGGGACATGCGGATTTAATGTAAAAATAACTGATTCAGCGTGGTTTATTTTTTCATATAATATTCTATACAACACTGTTCCATTAGTGGCTGACTGCTAAGCAAATGAAAAAATCTCTGTGGTTGCCAAGTTATGAGCTGTTTAAAAACACTCAGCAAATACAGCATACATATATTGATCATACTACCTTGGGGCTTCACAGCCAGAACAGGCAATTTTAGTTTAAACAATTATGAGATTATCTCAATAGATCCTATCCTGAGCTTGAGTTCTGGAAACTATGCAGATAGCCACATAACCTATCTGTATTCAGAATACAGCGTGCTATGATATGAATGCCACTTACTGCCTGATACAGCAGTTGGACTGAAAGAGGAAGTTGCTAAATCTGTACCATAATCTCATTTAAATTAATATCTTCCAGGCTTCTTACTGTAATCCTTGCGGCATATATCAAATAAATTCTAAATGGATGCATTTACAATATCAAAACTATGGACTATAGGCACAGCTTGCCAAGGTGGCTTCAACAAGTACAGGTGCTTGCTGTTCATACACATTAAAAACGTGTATGTACAGTTATCAGGGCAACACTTAGTGCAAGTACTGAGGGAGAATAAAAAGGAAGAAGTCTGACTACTGCTTCTTTCAATTCTTGCAAAGGTCCCATTTTGTAAACCTACATAGTAAGAAAACTTGGGGGAGAAAAAACAAACTTAGAGCACCTACCTGGCCTCTGACAGAAATTTGATTTTCAATTCCTGAGGAAGATCTTCTTTACAGGTTTTTACAGCAACAGGTGTCTTATCCTTTAACGTTCCCTTATATACCTCACCAAAATTACCCTAAAATAAGAAAAAAAAATCCTAAATAACCCAGTCTTTACAAATATCCAGAAATAAAATACAAACAGCTAAATAATCACCACAGAACTTTAAATTGTGTTTATGAAATCTTCTTCAAGTCTGTGCTCCTAGCACAATCAGTCCACACAGAGAATAAATCTATTATATAAATATGTCATATGAGTTCAATTTGGCTTGTGAGAAAAATACATTGCATAATTACAACTTTCTTTTAAATACTCTTAATAACTTCAGTCCTAACCTCTTTCATTTTCCAACTACTGCATTTTTTCAATAGTTTTCAATTTACAGTCCAGTGTAACTACACAACCCACTGTAAGACATTTTTATTTCAGCTTGCTTGGAAAAAAAACCTGAGATAGACATCTCCATCAGATGTGTTTTTAATTTAAAAAAAAAAAAAAGAAATTAGCACAAAAATTTAAGAGGAAATTATGTTATTACAGAAATCTGTTATCAAGTAAAATACATAAAATGGGGAGGAAAGGAAAAAAGAGATCTCAATATCTCACACTTCTAGCTTTCTTTTTCCCCAAAGAGTAAATACAACATTTTAAATATATGTCTGATACATTTCCACATGAATCTCTTCCCCATGTTCTGGTACACAGAGCTGTCAATGACTTCAACAAACAGAAAAAACATGCTGGAAGTTTTTCCTTCCTTTTCTCAGTGATAAAGATTTCTTTACACAACATGTATGAAGCCTCTATTGCCAAGATAAGAGAAACAGAAGAAAAAAAAAAAAAAAAAAAAAAAGATGAGGAGCATGATAGAATCACCAAGGTTGGAAAAGGCATTCAAGCTCATCCAGTCCAACTGTAAAGCTACCACCAGTATTTCCCACTAAGTCACGTCCCTCAGCACAACACCTAAACATTTCATAAAGACCTCCAGGGACAGTGACCCCACCACCTCTCCGGGCAACTTCTAGTGTCTGACCATTCTTTCAGAGAAGAAATTTTTCCTGATACCCCATCTCAATCTTCCCTATCACAACTTGATGCCACTTCCTCTAGCCCTATCACTAATTACATGAAGAGGCTGACCTTACCACAACCTCCCTTCAGGCGACTATACAGAGCAGTAAGATCTTCTCTGAGCCTCCTCCAGACTGAACAATTCCAGCTTCCTCAGCCATTCCTCCTAAGATTTGTGCTTCTGACCCCTCACCAGCTTTGTTGCCCTTCTGTGAATGCACTCAAGGGCCTCAATGACTTTCCTGTAGTGAGAGGCCAAAAACTGAACACAGTATTCAAGGTGTGGCCTCACCAGAGCTGAGTACAGAAAGATGATCACTTCTCTGTTCCTGCTGGCAATCTATTTCTGATACAAGCCAGGATGCCATTGGCCTTCGTGGCCACCTAGGCACACTGCCGGCTCATGTTTAGTGAAGTGCTGACCAACACCTCCAGGTCCATTCCTTCCCACAGTCTTCCAGCCACTTCTGCCCCAAGCGTGCAGGGTTGCCTGGGGTTCTTGTGGTCAGTGTGCAGCACTTGGTTTTGCTGAACTTCATCCCACTAGCCTCAGCCCAGCTATCTAGCCTGTACAGATCCCTCTGAAGGACCTTTCTACCCTGAAGCTGGTTAACACATCCTTCCAACTTGGTGTCATCTGCAGTCTTACTGAAAGTGCATTCAATCCCCTCATCCAGGTCATCAATAAAGATATTAAACAGGACACACCATTAATGACTGGTTGCCAGCTAGATTTAACGCCATTCACCATCACTCTCTGGGCCCAGTCTTCCAGCCAGTTCTTTATCCAGCAAAGTGTGTATCTGCCCAAGCCATGGTCTGACATCTTTTCCAGGAGAACACTGCGAGCACTCCAGTCATAAGAGTGATCTACCCTATTTCAGTAATGGCAACTAAGTCAAAGTTTGCCTGATACACAATGGCTTCCAGCTCCTTCTTTTGGTTGCCCATGCTTCATGCATTGGTGTAAATGCACTTCAGCTGAGCCATCTGCCCAATCCCATCAATGTTCCCCTAGGCTTATCTCTAGAGAGCCTTCTTTAGGGTAGATTAACGTCTCTTCCAATCTGAGCAATTCTGATTCTATGACACTTTCAGCCCCTTTCACCTTCATATCTACTTTAAAGCCCTCTCAATGAGTCTTGTCAGCTCTTGAGTTACAATCCCTCCTTGCAACAAGACCTATCTGCAGTCAACAGATCGTGCACTGAGTAAACCTCCCCATGGTCAAAAAAAGCCAAAATTCCTGCAATTGCACCAGTCTCAGCCATGTATTTATGAGATGGGTTTTCCTGCACCTCTTTGGTATCCCTTGGTGCCACTGAAGTGACATAAGCTACCTGAACTCCTGCTCTCTCAACTAACCACCTCAATGCTGTTAAGCCCCTTTTGATAGCCCTCAGGGCTCTCTCAGCAATGTCATTGCAGCCAGACTGAACTATCAGTAGACGATAAAGGCGATAACAACCAGACAGGTAAACTAGACAAGGGACACTTCTAGTAACGACCTTGACCTGGGTCTAAGGGAGGCAGCACATTTCCCTACTGGACGGGCTTGGTTGACATTATGGGGCATTCTGTTCCCCTCCAAAGGAAGTAGCCTACAACAATTACCCTTCTTTCCTTCTCAGAGGAGGCAGTCTTGAGGTGCAGAGTCAAACTTCTCACTCTAGAAAACCTCCTGGATGGACCTTCTACCTCATCCTTACTTACCTCTGCCTGGAGGTTCCAGAGCTTCAAACCTGCCCAGGGAAGTTGTGGAGTCTCCTTCTTTGGAGATATTCAAGACTCACCTGGACACTTACTTGTACGACCTGGTGTAGGAAACCTGCTTTAGCAGAAGGATTGGACTCAATGATCTCTGAAGGTCCCTTCCAAGCCCTACGATTCTGTGATTCTGTGATGCTATTACACAGAGCACCTGGGGAACTGACAAAGGTATGAACTGGGTCTGCCAGTAACACTAAACTGGGACCTGCTTCCACTCCTCATCTCTTATGACCCCCTCCCTCTGCTCAATGATGGCAAGGCAGGGAGTCCGCCACAGTCTGGTGCCTTTCTCTTAGGTGTTGCGGTTACTCCACCAGTCTATCAGAAGAAACTGATAGATGGAACCTACTATCACAATAGTAATGCCAAGGGAAGAAATTCACGTGTCTAAACACAGGACAAGTATTATTTCACACACCCTAAGATGTCTAAGAAACAGCTGGCAAGCAAGTATGCCTGCTCACCATCTATAATGCTTCAGAAACAGTACTTTTAGAGGACCTCTGATATCTAGAAAGGCACTGTGTGGCTCCTAACATGCTCTTCCTCTAATGTACTGTTTAAGAGTATTTAACGTGGAAAACAAAATACTATTGAACTATTTTAAATGCTTTTAATTCTTCATTTTAAGCATTTATCACTTTATATATAATTTTTAATATAGTATTACATACACTACATACTTGTATATTTCATTTTGCATGTATTATATAATTAATACTGTACAAATAAATGGACTATTCACTGCTGAAGGGAAAAAAAAATTTCTACTTTCAGAGCATCACAGAATTATAGAATTACATGTGTTGGAAGAGACCTCAAGAGATCACTGTGTCCAAAGTAGATATCCTACAACAGGTCGCACAAATAGACATCCAGATAGGTCTTCAGTGTCTCCATAGAAGGAGGATCCACAACCTCTCTGGGCAACCTGCAACCACTGCTCCAATGGCCTTACTGTGAAGTTTTCTTCCACATGTTAGTATGGAACTTTTTACGCACAAATTTTAGGCCACTACTCCTTGTCCCTTCACTACAAACCACCGGAAGAGCCCTGCCTCATCCATCTGCCTCCCACCTTCCTTTAGGTACTCATAAACATTTATCAGATCCTCTCGGTTTTCTCTTCCCCAAGCTGAACAGATCCAAGGTTACTCAGTCTTTCCTCATATGGGAGACTTTTCAGGCCCTTTATCATCTTTGTAGGCCTCCTTTGTGGTCCTCTACTGAAATCCTTCTAGGAGATCCCTCTTTTTTGAACTGGGAAGCCCAGAACTAGACACAGTAGTCTAAATGTGGCCTTATTAGAGCATAATAAAGAGTATGGCTTGCCATACTCTTCTTAATGCACCCCATGATACCACTGGCTTTCTTGGCCACAAGAGCACACTGCTGGCTCATGGACAGCCTGTTGTCCACCAGGACACCCAGGTCCTTCTCTGCAGAGCTCATCTCCAAGAGGTCATCCCCTTACCTGTACTGATGTATGTGGTTATTCCTCCTCAGACAAAAATCTCTATCCTTGCTCTTGTTAAACCTCATCAGGTTCCTTCCTGACCAACTCTCCAGTCTGGCCAGATCTTGCTGAATGGCAGTACAGCCTTTCACTGTGCCAGCCACTCCTCCCAGCTTTATTATTGCTGGCAAACTTGCTGTGGACTCTATCCCTTCATCCAGGTCATTCATGAAAGTGTTGAACAAGACCAGACCCAGCACCTATTCCTGGGGAACACAGCTAGTTACAGACCTCCAACCACACTCTGCCAGTCAGCCAGTTTTCAGTCGCACTGTCCACTCATGTATCCCATGCTAAGTTTCATAACAAGGATGTTGTGGGAGATGGTGTCAAACCCCTTGAGGAAGTCAAGGTAGACAGTATTCACTGCTCTCCTTCATCTATTCAGCCTGTGATGACATTACAGAAAGCTACCAGGTTGGTGAAGCATGATTTTCCCTTTGTTGAATCTGACTGACTACTCCTGATAATCTTCTCTTCCGAGTGCTTGGAGCTGGCATCCAGAACAAAATGTTCCATCACCTTTCCAGGGATGGAGTTGAGGCTGACTGGCCTGTAGTTGATTGGATTATCCTTCATGCCCTTTTTGACAGCCACTTTGCTAAGTCCGCATCAGTGTTCCCTGATTTTCCTAGCCACTGTTTCCAGTAGACTCAGACTTCTCACTTAAATGATCAACAGCAGCAGTTTATTTAATATTTTCATAATGGAAGTTAATGATCTTCTCACCCTTTTGTTTTCTAGTTTGATTATATCATCTGAGAAAAGAATACATTACACATTTATATGGTTTACAAGAAAGTTATTAATCTGTTTTAAAATTTTAAAACTCCATATCCTACTAAAATCAGTTTTAAGGCTGCTCTGTCTTCATCAATTTATTAAAATACTTTGTAAAAAAAAAATGCAATACATATGTAAACTTTTTTAGAAATCAATGTTCAGACTATGTCAACTGTCTTGATAGGTGCAAAAGTGATGAAAATTTAAGTCAGATATTGTATTTCAGTAGAAGCAGTTCATAAGAACTGCAGCTCATATGCAGAATTTGTACTATTTTTGTACTATTTTGTACTATATTTGAAGTATCACAATAAATCATAGAGTAACAATGAATATTTGGTTTAACAAATATTGCCTACATTATCATCTTATTTCAATTTTTTCTTTTGCTTACATGCTTTTCGTATTTTTAAGCAATTTTAAAAATAAAAAGAATAAATTAAAAAAAGAATTTTTTTTTTTTGCAAGACTGCACAATTTAAACTGTAATATAATGCTTTGCAGACACGTAATTAACTTAAAATCCTTACAAATAAGAAAAACACATATGCTAAATATTTTCAGCAGACACATCACGCGATTCACTATTATATGCAATAAGCATTTATACAATACTAACTCATGTATTAAAGCAAAATAGTAGGTATAAAAATCACAGTAATTTAAAGGATAAAGCAATAGGAAATACACAGACTTAATGACTAATACATATTTATTTACATGTTGATAGCTCACTTGATTACTTACTTTGCCCAGTAATTCTCCCAGAGTGACATCCTCATGATTGAGAACCCATTTCTTATCCTATGGTAAGAAAAGGAAAGAAGAATGCTCAGTAATATCAAATACATACTTTCTATTACATACACTTCAGCAAGTCGAAATGTAACTAAAGAAGCGTTTGTTCGGACTGCTCAGTCAAAAGCACATCAGGAAGTTAAAAACAGCATTCAGAAAACATGCTTTTCAAGGAAATGCTAACGTACACAGTATAGCCTGTTAAGTGCATCAATTAAGTAGACAGTATGTGTGCTAATAAACAAAACACATGCACTTTCTCATGCAAGCTCTGGAAACAGTATCTAGTGCTCCGTTTTTAAAAATGACTTGAGCCAAAACTTCATATTTTAGAATATGAAGTAACTTATTGCAGGGTCAAAAACAAAAACAAACCCAAATCAACATTTATTTTCTCAGTGCCAATATATATTGATTTTTTTGCTTATTAACAAGGTACATATGGCATATCTTAAGTCTTAGGTCTTAATCTTCTTTGATAGTTTGATACTAACAGCCAACTACCTGAGAAGACAACATAATAAACACAAGCCATTGGATCTGCGCAGTGCTGATGACTAACAACTTTATTTCTTTATTAGCACCTAATCTGCTTATCACCTCACAAACACCATTAATACTAATCATATTAATGGTAAGATTCTATGTATTTTTTGTTAATAAAAACTCACTAAAGCTCACAGCAGACCAAATCAACCATGCTGGCTTTGCTGATTGACTTCTTAGTGGAATCTTAACAGACCAATCTCCTGGTGCAAAACAGGAGGTTACTCACGTGCGCAAATAAACACTTGATGGCAGGGAAGGAATAAGAGGGAGCCAGGCTCCTCAGTGGCTCCCAGTGATGGGATAGGTGGCAATGGGCACAAATGAGGAAACACGATATGTATTCTGAACTTGAGGAAGTGTTTTTCTCATATAAGCGATGAAACACTGCACCAGGATGCCCAGAAAGACTCTGAGTCTTCATCTGCAGGGACACTCAATACTCAACTGGACCCACTCGAGCTGACACAGTTCCTATGGGGGAGGGTTGGATGGATGATATCAAGTCTCTTATAATCTAGCTAAGCCTGTGAGAAATGTATGTAATTAAACCTTAATGTAGGGAATTCACTCTCTTTTTATAGATACAACATGTCTGTAACTAACATGCTAGGTCAAGCATGCTAGTTACCAGCACAGAACCAGATATTTCACACATTATATTTCCTGCCAAAGACTGCATCCTAACTGAAGGCAATGCCACAGCCATGACTATCTTTAACATGCTTTGAAGTTTAAAAAGAAACACTGAGTGTATACTTATTTGCCATTAAATTAGTCAGTAAGACACATCCCAACATAGGAAGCACTGATTTCCTAAAAAGAAAGCCATTAAAAAACATATATACAACCCCTATGGCTGAACCATAGGTAACAAGTGCAGAACACTGCACAATCTGTGTACAGCGATTTCTGAACAACATTTCTGTAGAATAAATCTTAAGATAATCTTAAAAGAAGCTGAACAGTTTTATGAATGTTTCTTTCATCTTCTCGACTTGATTTTGTTAAAAATTAAAAATGCTTTGTTCACTAAAGTCTGTAAAATTTGTCAGGTATTTTTTGCTGATTGGATTCCTTATTCAGAAGTTGTTATATTTTGAACAGCTAGAAAAGGCCAATGTGCATTTGCCTTTACCAGTAAAGCTCAAATTTAAGATAACAACTGGGAAATAAGGCTCTAAAGAAAATACATACATAAATGACTACTTGATGCGTTAACATAAAACTTTTTAACTTTGAAATAAATAATGCTAAAGCCAATAAGTAATAAAGTCAAATACTAATGTCTTTTTAACCTCTTAATTCTCAATGTTTCATATTTCAGTGAATGACTTTTGGAAAACTGACAACATGGCATTAAAAACACTTCTTTATAAAGCAAAAATCCAATGCATAATCCTTCGGAGAAATAATTAAACAAAAAGGCACCATGAGCTGTAATCAACTGATCTGGCCAAAGATTTGTTATTATAGTAACATATTAATCACTACCCACATTTCTCTTTTAGGAAAACCTTCTGTTTTTTATTATATCAGCATGGGCTATTAATTACACCGAGTATCTTGCTTCAAAAAAATTATTTGTCAGCATATGCAAACAGTAGTGCCTTGCTTGTTTCAAAGGCACTACTACTACAATAAATGAATATTCATATGAATGATAAGTAAATTAGTTTCCTACTTACTAGAGTTTTCTGTGATCAGGAATCTTTAGTTACTTTTGTAGATACACAGACTCTGTCTTAAGATAGAGACTAATTGCACAAGCCATTCCTGTGGCTACCTGACTGAAAAGGTGGCAGGTATAGCTGCAGCAGACACTCAGACAATCCCTTCTCATTCTAATTGATATCTCTTCAAAACTGTTCTTTCACTACTCATTAGGCACCATCTGGACCAACCAGAAAAACAGACAGCTAAACAAAACAATACAGCCCTTGGCACGTCACAATCCTTCTGACTGCAATCATCATTCATTTTCTTTTTTAACTTCTGTGTACACGTAATAGATTCTGACACCAGTAATACTATCCACACGATCCACGAAAAATTAGCAAAAGATATGTATTGTAAAACAATTAACAGAACAGAACCTGTAACCCAGAACTTCTAAGTCAATTCCCCTCATCTGCTAAGTTTCTTTGTTATGTTCCTCTCTCCCAGTTTCTGCTCTCTCTTCGGTTCATCGAAAACTTAAAGGAACAGAAAAACACCTCCAAAGAATATGGAGAGAAATTTTTATACTAGGAAATATTAAAACACAAATATTAAACCCCTTAAAACAACTTTCACCTTGTGAATGTTAATATTGAGCTTCTGAGTGAAAAGACAGCAGTTCTGTACTAAACTCACAGAATCACAGAATGCTTTGGGTTGAAACAAACCTCCAAAATCATTTAGTTCCTATCCCCTTGCCATGAGCAGGGTTGCCACCTAATGGATCTGCCTGCTGCCTGGGGCCCCCATCCAACCTGGCCTTGAACATCTTTAGGCACTGGGCATCTGCAGCTCTGGGCAGCTGTGACAGTGCCTCACCAGCATCCAGATAAAGGATTTCTTTGTAACATCTAACCTAAATCTTCTCTCTTTCAGTTGAAAGCCATTCCTCCCCATCCTACCTCTATCAGATCATGTAAAAAGTCAGTCTCCTTGCTGTTTAATAGTTTCCCTTCAAGTACTGTGAGACCATAATGACGTCTCCCAATGCTTTCTCTTCTCCAGCCCGAACAACCCCAGCTCACTCAGCCATTCTTCCTTATAGGAGATGTGCTACTCTTCCAGATCCACTCCAACAGCTCCACGTCTTTCTTGTGCTGCAGTCTCCCAACTTTTATCATCAAGCTCATCTATGAATGCAAGTCTGAAACTGGTCCCTCTGTATCAGCACTTGTCAAATTGAAGAAAACATTTTGTAGCATTAAAAACATAAGTTGGAGCTTAAAATTTTATCTAGTATCTTTCAGCACCTGCTAAGTGATTTAACCCCTGCTCATTCTACCAACCTACACCAAGGCTGTTTCATCAGCACAGACAGATAGAAAGAAACTAAGAGAGACAATGTTATCTGTATCATGCCAGCATATAAATCTAGCATTAGAAAATTTTAAAAAATAATCTAATTTGCAGTAAGATAAATATTCAATTAATTATTTTGAAATAGTGTCATTGATTCAAATAATTATCTCTGAACTTACAAACAGAACTGCAAAGCAGACAGCCACAAGGACTACTGTTTCTACTGCAGGTATATTACCTCACTAATTCTGCTCAAATTGTGCTGAATTAAATATGGTATTGTCCTGTATTTTTGGACAGCTGCCAATAATTACTCTACAAATGAATCATATGTGCAAAACAAAAAACCCAACAAACCAGGTGATATAAAATAAAATAGCAGCAAAGCAGGAAATACAAGATAAACTTTAATACGGGTATGGATGAATCGTTACTAAAGACTACCAGTTTGAGTCATAAAAAAATCTCATTTCAATAGAGTTGTTTCTAAAACAAAGAGAGCAAATTAACTAGGTTTTCATACTTAACCATAAGCTACTCTGAATGAGAGAGAAGGTCAGAACACACGAGACTATTACTGCCACTACTATTTCTAGCTATCCTGGCTCCAGCTGGGATAGGGTTAATTTTCTTCCAAGCAGTTGGTATGATGCTGTATTCTGAATTTAGAATGAGAAAAACGTTGATAACACACTGGCAGTTCGTTGCCTTCACCCAGGATATGCATACTGTCTGCAACACTGAACTTTTGTAAACAGAGTAAAAGCAAACAAAATACCTCCAAAACCAATCAACACCATGGGAAACCCAAAATTGGGAAAATAAACTTTGGTTAATTTTGCACAGGTATTTTGTGTATGTCAACTGAATGACAAAAGTACTGAAAAGCTGGAACACAGAGCACATAACTTGTTTAAGCTTTCAGTCTTTGAAAGCTGAGATCAAAACACTTAGATCTGAACCACAACTAAAACAGGTTTGGTGACTGAAGAATTAAGGTCATGTAAGATTTTTACCAGTGACTTTTATGAAAAGAATATCAGCACCTTTATCATCACATTTTTTCATAACTTCACATGTCTAACATACTAAAATTTCGCTACCAAGATTCAGACCCACATGGAATCCTCAAGTCATTTACAAACTTGTTAATCACTGGAACTGCTAAAATCAAATACACCTTTTATTTTTCTTTCACTTAACATTATTTACAGTTCATCATTTTTCCGTGTGCCTGTTTGAGGTCATAACAAAGGCTTCTTCGTGACTCAAAATAGATCCAGAATTGAAAGCCACCAGCAACAAATGTACTGCCTAACTCAGTTGACAAAGAAGTGGCATTCTGCTTTCCATGAGACTGGAATTTGAATTTACTGCAGGTCTAAAGACTAACTGTATTGACATTAATCAAACAGCAGCAGACCAGCAGAGTGAAACAACTGCTGAAGAGACCCTACAACATAAGCATAGAAGGACAAGGGACTATTTCAGACCAGACCTCCTCAGATTATGAAGACTGAGATCCCATCATCAGTTGTGCATCTTACTATTCTGTTCCTTTTTAAAGGAGTAAAGTTCAAAACCTAAGATGTAATGGGCAGATCTGCTTCAGAAATGCATTTCTGATCTAAGCTAAAAAGTTAATGCAGATATATCCAAATAAAATTGGTAATTATGTCCTTGATAATTTTATTTTTTTTATTAAACATATGAGCATATCTGGAACTTCATACAGATTTCTTAAGCAAACAGAATGTATTTTAGGAAATTTAAATATTTAAAAACATGAGGTCAAGGACAGTAGAAAGTGAAAGCATGTTTTATATATTTAAAATAGCTTTTCTGCTAACAAAGTCCTTGGGTATGTACTGAGGTTACTTTAACACTCTTCAAATCAGTTATTTTATCAATAATACACTGAAGAACATAGAGCGCAATTTTCCAAAAGGTTATAAATAAATATAAGAGGCTTTTCCATAAAAAACAAAAATCACTTGCAGATATCATTTTAATGACAGTAGTTTTTTAATTTAAATTCTATTATTATATATCATTAAAATTCCAAGCAGGCTGATTTGGTCTGCATGAAAATGGATGGAGGACAAGGCCTTTCATAGCAATTAAGAGTGTTCCTTTCAAGGGCAATGTCACAGAAGGTGAACACTAATTTTGCTAATATGGTAAAGGAGGATAAATGACTGCGAGAAGAAAGGAGAGCAAAAACAAACTACATGGCAATTGTTTTTCTGTGAAGTTCTCCATCATATTTAACTTTCATTTCCTAAACAGGTTATTACAGGGACAGCAATTTGCATTAAAAGATTAACAACTGCATGAAATGTCAAAGACTACTTTGCAGCTATAAGACGACAGGAGAAACAGACCTTGCAGATGTCAAATGAATTTTAAGGAAGAGATCAAAGATACTCCAACATTAATATGATGTGGAAAATAATCCCAACTAGCTGTCAGAGTACACATGCCATTTCTGAAATTAACTTATAATGTCTGCACTTTAAGTTACCTATTCATACAGACTATTTCTACTTGCATTTATACCTCAAAGGGCATGGGGTAAATTATAGTAACTGATATCGGGAAATGTATTTGGGATCATATTTCCTTAGCAGTGTATGTAATAGAAAACTATACACGAATAAACTTGAAAAAATGTCAGGAATACAGAAGCTCCCCGCCTTCAAATTCAGCAACAGTCAATTAAGAAACAGTATTTTTCAGGCCTGCTTACCCTTAATAAAATAAGAAACAATTATTTTGTTATTTAGTACATAGTAACATAATATACGATTATTTTACATTTGCAAAAACAGAGCAGCTCTCACAGTATGTACATTGCAGAAACACAGAAAAAACAGTTTTGTAAAAGTAATTATAAACGAAGATTTCATTTAGAGTTTTGCAGCCTTTTATTTTTAGCTTAAAGAGTTTATATAAGAAATATACTTATCTGCACATCAAAAATGAAGTCATAAGCTTTCTCAGATCCATCAATGAATTTAAGCAATATTTTACATTCAACAGTCTTCATTTTGTAATCACCATGACATTTACTAAAAATATGTACTTAACAATAGCCATACTTCAAATTTGGAAGTATAAATAATAAGTAAGCATAGAAAATCACAAAAACCACATTAATTTTGAGAAAATGAATATGCTTTCATTTCTTAGGATTATTAAAGGTAAAGAATGGGGAGTTTGTATTAGGAAACTGAAAGAGAAATTGTTACACTTGAATTTTTGTAAAACAGAATGTGATATGCATTCTTCAGACTGGTCCAAGTTGTTTTTTTTTTTTTTAAATCAAGTGCAAAAGGTCTTCTCATAGTTCAAGATTTCTGTTAAAAACAGTTCACATATGCATGAAGTATCAATTGAGCAGATATTAAATTAAAAACTCTGGGGAAATGGCACAGATACTCTTTTAGGCTTCCTAAACAGTTGTATAGTTTAATAGTTCTGTCCCTTATCATTCCTCTCACAGAAGTCATTATACTATGATACTGATTAATAAGCTAATTTTGAATTTCAAATTTGCAATTATGCTATCAGGGTAATACTTGTTTCCACGCCTGTATCAATACCTTACATGAAATAGAGGGAAAACCATGAGGTAACACAAGTTCTCCAAACTCTGCTACAGTTCTACCACTTAAAAGAACACTGTTCACATTATTTTATTCAAGAAAAATTCCTTATTGCAACTTTATGGGAATTACTTGGCCAGCAGTAAAATTCTAAAAGGAAATGCAAAGCAGAGAAAGGAAAAGTACAAGGATATATTTTAAGAATGCTGATATATTTTAATGAACGCTGATATTCAATGTAGTGAAGATTTATTTCAAGTATGGAGTGTTATTTTATAGCAATGCAATACGTGGAGCACAGAAGGCTGAAAAAATCTCAGAAAAGAAAGTCACAGAACAATAAGCAAGAATGAAAAAATCTTTCAAGCTGCATAGGAATTTGTTTTAGGTAACAGTATAAACCCTTCCTAGTCTTTTCAGTTAAAGAGTTCTTGAAATGCATGCATTACCTTCACAACAGGATTCAGCAGAACAACACCGGATTTCTTTGTAATAACTTGCTTTGTTGTATAATGATGTTCTATGAGCTGAGGAATAGTTGGAAATCCAGTTCCTTCAAAACGATATTGATTCTGTATGGAGGTAAAAGGAAATAACTGTTTCTCTGAAAGCAAAAATTGCAAAAAAGCTTTTCAAAGCTTCCTTAAACAGTAACAAAACAACAAAACGTTCACATTCACAAAGTTATATTTTTTGTCCGTATGTATTTAATAGCATTTCTACTATCATGAATTACATGGAATGATAAGACAACACATTAATAAATGCAAAACAACCAAATCACTCATTTGCAGTAAAAGAACAAAACAACTATTTACTCAAACTCTGAAGTTTAAAGAAAAGGGCAGCACTTGCATTTCCAGAGATGGGACTGTTTGAGGTACTTAACTATGACAGAGTGAAATATTATAAGCATAAAACACCACCAAATTCTTAAGCACCTAAAACTGTTTAATATATACTTTATTTATAAATAACAGAAAATGAACTAAAACAAACATCTGAAAATAAAGTAGACAAGATATAAATAACTTTTTTTTTTTTTGTAACTCATCTTACAGCATTTACCATGTTTGATTCAACTAGTAGACTCTAGCATAAAGTTCAAGACTGAGGATCATGCTTTAATAATTAGTGTTTATCAGAGGAGACTAGAGTAGTACAGATGTTAAAAACAAAGGCAAGTCACGCATATAATCAACAGAGAACATTTGGCCAAGACAAAATTCCTTCTGCTCAACTCCTCTATTTTTGTCACTTTATTTTAGCTACACGATCTACAAAACAGGAACAATTAAATCTCTTAACGTATTAGAGATATGTAACATTGTCTTAGCAAATATAGCATTCTTTAAAACACTATGAGGAAAAAAGTAGTATCTTAATATCTTATCTTTGACCTTACATTTGACAGTAAGGAAAGTGTAAATAAGTGTTTATTTCATCCCTCGTGTCTTAAACCATTATAGCTAAGTTTAAAAATAGATACTGGCTCAGTGAGCAAGTACACCAATTCCGGCTCCTTTCAAATAACCCCATTTTTATTTCTGTTCTGATGATCTAAAAAACTTGGTGTTCTAAGAACTGGCTTAGCATACGAATCAATACCACTTTTATTCCCTCATTGCAGCCCCAGTCTTATACCTATCTGCTGTCATCTGTGTAAAATCTTCAGGGCAAAGACTGCTGTTTTATTCTCTGTATTTTCACAGGATCCAGACCATTAGGATCACTATCAAAGAGTTTAAGAACAGCACAGCCTCAAAACAGAAGAAATGGGGGAAAAAAAGCAGCCTTGAAAGACTAAGATATGTCAGCACTGAATTTTGATGCTTAAAATTAAATGATTGAACTCATCTCACATATGCTTTTTTTTTTAAGATTTAGACTTAAAACAAGATAAAATGAGTTATGTAAAGAATATATATCCTGCATATATCCTAGTGCATTCTGCAGCCCCTGATTCAGAAAAATAACTGAATGAAAACCAAAACCCCCAGTGACCTGACCAGTCAGAAAACTGATTCCCCTTTGTTTGTACCAACGTATACAAAACTTTTAAAGTCTTGAATTAAACTCTGACAACATGCCTACCAAAATGTCTAGGAGTCCATTTCCTCTTGTAGTATGACTAACAGTCCCACTAGTTCTAACTTGTTTTAAAGGTTAAAAAGCTTCACTCTCATTTTAAAATTAGAGCCTTTTTTCCACAATTAATACAGAAAATTCATCCTATAAGAGTGCTTAAGGAGTTCTGCATTTCTTCAGAAGAAGTTTTAGTTTTCATGATTGTCAACAAAATCTTCCCTAAATGCACTCCAAGACTAGATTAATGCAATACCTTGTTAATAAATGTATAAGCAGAATAATCTAGTGACATGATGATGTTTGGACTGTGACAAGCTATGCAACATTAAATAGTGTTACATTTCGAATATGATTCCTAAGAGGAAGTAATAAAATTTGGAAATTGAATTGGAAAAAATTGAAAAAAAACAAAAACGACAGCTTTATTTAATTTTTCAGCTTATAGATAAGCATGGCCTCAAAGTAATAATTACTGAAAAAACTTCTCTGCTCTGACTTTAGAGCCTAGTCTATAGTGATGTGCACAAAATGATTTCAGTCACACCAAGTATATTACATATATTTAATTCTGCTGGGTCAGGGTCAGAGTGCACCAAACATCTTTAAAGACTCTGCGTGTGTAGCTTCAAGTAATTTTATTGCTCTTATTTTCGCAACTAGCACTCCGGTATTCCAAAATACTATTAAAAAAATCGAATTATAAAACTGGCTTTGTGTCAAGGCCCACTTTTACAAGGAAAATCCCAGATGAAGATTAATAAAAAAATTCAGCTGGATAAGTGTCCATAATCACCAATAGTACAAAACGCCTAAAATTTTCATAGAGCTATAAAAATATCGCAGCCTCTCATTAAAAAGAAATAAACCAGCACACAATACATTATCTTCCAGATGGTGAATTTAGACATGGAAATATTCATAGTGTAAACTTAGTTCCGAGACCAAACATGAGCATTCTTCTATGAAGTTTGACAAAATTTTTGGAGACCTCATAACGAAAGACAAATATTTTCTGTCATCACTACTGAACCAAAACAAAGAATGATACTATGATTGAAGACACAGAAGAATTTGTTATATGAAAATAGATTTCTATCTATATCTAAAATAGATAAGAACTGCTGCACTTTGAATTTACTTGGAATTCTGAAAGGTAATTAAAAAAAAAATTCAATAAACAAGTAATGGGTGAAGAATACAAAAAATACATCAGGTAAAGGCATATGAATATTGATGTACTTTCTAGAATGGCAGCCTTAATCTAAGTTACTAAGTCCTATTTGCTGCATAGTACTTGAAATCTTTTGAGCTCTACTGAACAAAACAGCATACACAGGGCTAAAAAGAATTAAAGTATCTCAGAGAAGCAGGGATTTAAACTCTCAATTGAACAGGAAACAGCACATATTATTTGAATTTTTGAGTCAGATTCAAGGGAATCATTAGTCTGAATTAAAAGTAACCTGTTAGTACAAAAATGGGTTTATAGATAAATGTATATGCAGAAATGAGTACTAACAAGTTCTGGATTTCATAACATTTACAGAAATATTTTTACTTTTCAATATATGGTAAAATAATATTTTTCCTTTATTCCCCAGAATGATCTTTTCCCCTGGTTTGAATACTAACTGAAATATTTGTAACAGATTTCATTTAAAGATTAAAGCCATGTGTAATATGACATTACATAGATACTGAATCATTTAGTACTAGATACCCTAATATTGAATATTTCATACTATAGCAGAGACGTACATCAGCATATTGTATGATAAAGTGTCTCCGTTGTCCATCTGAAAACACAGAAAGGACATATTCACCAGGTTTCCCGTGGCTCTCTCGCACCAAGAAGTCTCCTTGCTGTTTTAACAGCTCCTGGGCTTCTATTCTTGGAATTGCACCATGATACCAGTCTTGTTCTGCCAATGGTTTCTCTGTGGTTGATATTACATCAAAGAACTTGGGAAAGATATTGAAGAAAAATGTTACTGTGACTGTACATTTTTAGAATTTACTTTTAAATGAAAAGCATGATAAACAACAATAATTCCTGAGTTATTTATCTAAATTAAGTATTTCTATTAACAAATTGAGACTTGCATATTACAGAAAACGGACATAAATCTTTTTTTTCCTATTATCTAAACAATTAAGTCTGTTTACATGAAAAGCATTAAGTTTATGGAAATATCCATAAAAACACATAAGAACTTTCACTTGGCTGTTTTTCTTAAGACACACTGACCAACAGTGACCAGTGACTCTTTTTCACTGCTTTAGACATTCTGACATGCTATTAATAACAATTAAAAATGAAGATTTTCTTCATATAAAGAAACTTTGGAGGAAAAAAACATAAAAAAACCCCTGAATTTAAAAAGCATTTAGATCGGATAAATTGTTTTAATACACTTTAAAAGCTCCATATAAAATCAATCAATGGAAGTGACACCTTCCCCAGAATTTACATAACAGCAGAGAACAGACATGCGGGTGTACTGCGTTCATGAAGCTGCACTGAGTTTTTGAAGTCATAATGATTACAAGATACTATTTTCACTGATTGTAAGCAGAAGGCAATGAGTTTTAATCTACAGTTTCATATATTAATTTAAATGAGCTTAGATTAAATTTTAATAATTGATTAAAACATTTAGAATGTCATTGTATTCAATGACATTCAGATTTGCTTGTTTTGACTAGACTGGGAAGCTTTATGCCGTTTGAAATCATTAGTGTCAAGGGTCATACAAATTCTCACTGCCAAGTGGAAAAGCTCTGAACAAAACAAAACACTGTGTATTGTATCAGGAATTAAATGATATAGGGATATCTCCCATGCAAGCCTGCTGAATCGCATTTCAGATAGCAGAATAAAAGACACATCTCAGCTAAGCGTAAGTCAAACAGATAGAAACTAAACAAACTAGAAACTAAACATATAAATTTACAATCTTCTTGAGGGGATATTCAGGTCAAGATTACCTACCCATCCAAAAAGAAAATCCAAAACAAAGAAATAAAAAACCCCTAACCATGAGGAATTCTCTCAGAGGGAATGAAAAAAATAACAAAAAGGGCGTCTATTGAAAACTTCCTTTTAAATGTATGTAATTCCTGAGCACTTTCATAGTAAAGTATCTGGTATAACAAACGCCTCTGTCTGTGGGTTTCTGGCTGTCTTTGCAAGTAACACCTCAAAAGGTACAGCTTGTTAGTCCAAGAGTTTCATGGAAAACTAGAGATCCTATCTAAGAGGATGACTAGGCCTCCTCTTCTCAGACATCAAAAGCAGGATCTACAACTTTGGGTGCCTCTTTTATCAAGGATTATTTCAGATAGGAGATCTGACAACAAAAAATGACACACTCTTTCTAGTCACAAGTAAGGATACTCATTTACCAATTACACTTTATTAGAGACTCAAAACTAAGAAGGACTATGAAGAAAAAATAACAGATTGAATAGAAAGATAACAGATTTTTGGAGAAAAAGGGGTAATCCAAAGTACTATATTTATTTGCATAGAGAATTACTAAAAGCCCAGGATATCGTTTGGTCAAGAAGGCACTCATCTCAATTTCATCAAAAGTCAAACATTTCTTAGATTAGAGTTATCTCCCACAGTTAAATGACACTAAGCTATGCAGAAATACCTAACACACACACACACACACACAAAAAAAAAAAAAAAAAAAAAAAGCTTTCAAAAAGTGTTAAGAGGTTATTCACTGGAATATTTATGCATCAAAGATGCTGAGAAAAAAAAAACCACAAAAAACAGATCTTTACTATACTATCAAGAAACATTAAGGGGTTCAAAGTAGCAAAACCTCTGGCACATAAATACAGTACTAATCCAAAGGAAATGCCTCTAAGGATAGAGGGACAGCTCAGGGTCAATAAACTAGTCCATACCCTTCACAAAAGAAAACTTTTTAAAAGTTGAAAAAAACCAAACCCTGACACTTATTTATTTTACAGCCTACAGAAGAGGCAGTCACCAGATAATAACACTTCCTTATGTTCAAACTGGATCAAGCATGAGTCACTGTTTAGACAGAAAATCATGATCACATCCCCTGAATAAAGCACAGAAAAGGCTCATGAAGAAATAAGAAAACATTTTAAAAATGCTACCTATGGTGCTGCTCATGATACTAACACCAACCTTCCTCCTAACTTTAAATTTGTTTAAAATAATGTTTATTTATATAGAAGCAAGCAACAAAAAGATTCTTTGCTGACATCTCCCACATTATACTGCCTAAATTTTTTTTTACCTTACCCTGGAGGGGTACTTATAAAGAAGGTGAATTACACTATTTTCTGTGAAGAAACAAGTGGTAAATATGATTTGAATATTATTTAAATTATTTTTAAAAAATATTTTCCACATGATATGATATTCATCCTGGCCTTGGAAAAAAAAACACGGCTGAGAACACAAAAAGACCAGTACAATAATATCATCATTTTAATACTAATTAATATATATATTATAATTATAATTAATTATATATATAAATAATATTATATGTAATATTATATAATATATAATTTAAATTATAATTAAATATATATATTAATTAAAAATAAATTTACCAGTTAATGCTGTTGTCATTCTAGGCCCCAGTGTTTTAGTGTCATTCTGTGACTAAAAAAATGTCTTGCTCACATACACATAAACACAGAGGAACTTTCAAATGCCTGATTCAGTACCTTAAATGGAGAAAAATTTATTTTTTAAAGGATTTCTGTTGTTAGTTTGAATGGACAACAAAAAAAATTAACAAGATCATACAGAGGGAAAGGAAACTACATTGAAAATTTTTTCTTCTCCTTCCCAAACGCTTTTTTTTTTTTTTTTTTTTTTGCTTTTTTTTTTCCTTCTTTCTTCACTTATTCCCACAGTTCGCTCACCAATTACTTCAGCAAAGGGATACCCTCATATTTCATCATGCTTTTCATCCAGAGAGAAGAAATATTCCCTCTTATCAATCATGCTCAGGTTATTACTGCCCTCCTAACTTATTCTGAACTTCTTTCCCTCTCTATAATTAACAATCCATTGAAATAGCTGCTTTTCTCCAACAGTAAAAATCGAGCAGTCCCCAGCTACTGCTCTTACTAAAAAGAAGCATTAGACAAAGAGTACTGTATTACTTTTAACTTCAGAAAAAGAGAAACTATTTCTGCACTTATTCTCCCAATGAAAAGAATAATAATGGAAACACTTTATTAAACAATTTACTTGAAATTTCATTTCCACATATATTCTTAAGTCTTTGTGCATTTTGTTTTCCACTCTTACACAACCCAAGATTTTACCTACATTTTTTTAATCTCAAGTTGTAAAAAAGGCACAAAGAGAGATTAGAAAATAAAGCAATAGTTACGTTGACACTTGCTTGTAGAATATTCTACCAGCAGACAAAGTGAATCTAGCTCAGTTCTACAAGCCAATATATCATTGGAAGTCAACACCTACTCTGTCAAAGAAGTGAAAAAAAATTTAAGTACCTATCAAAAAACTCTATAAAAGTAAAAATGTACAGACCTGAAAATTCTAAGATAAAGACATCATAATAAAATTATCACTTGCAGTTTGTACAAAGTGATGTTTTATGACCATCATTATTAAATCTAAAAAATTAAAAATTATTTGATGTAAGAGAAACAACATGTGTTGTTATCCTATAAACAGAAACAGCCATCTGTGCCAATATGAAATCCTTCACTGATAAAAAAAAATAGACTCAATCAGAATGGTAGAAGCTGATGTTTACTATACAACTCGTTCAGACTCTTCATTCTGTTAATACATAGCCAGAGTTACTGGTGCAGAAAAGCTGGCTCGTCTCTCATGTTTCCTCTCATCATTTGATCAAACTAATTACACGGTATACCTTTCCATTCTCAGAACCCGTAAATCATTTAGGTGTCAACTCATAAACAACAGTTTAACTCTCGGCTGCTTGAGGAAATTCTAGGCTTCTCCACAGCTTTGCTCAGAGGAAATAAAAAAGTTCTTATTTTTCTTGAATTAACCACAATACTTAACTTCTAGTAACCAACTAAACATGGGACAGCATTTTTCTCTGCATTCAAACCACAATAGAGTTTCACAGTATGCAACAGTATGATCGCGTTTACTGATCAAGCAGAACAGTGTTTCTAATATTACAATTCTTCTCCATGTAGATGGGAATCTTAAGTAAGTTGACAAACAAGAGAATGTCCTGCAACACTAAATTATTACTTACTGATGATGAGCCCAACATGGATTTTGGAGATCTTATAATTCCAGCTATAGAGTGACGTATAGTATCAAATCTTGAGACTTTGTCCTTCTTGTCCTAGGAAGAAAAGTAAAATTTCTAGTGAAACCAATCAATAGCAGTTTACCTCTAAGTATTAATAACTGAATTATGGAGAACATGGCATCTAGAATCATGGATTAAGAGCGAGACTGAGGTTCTATAAATACAAACCAGTAAGACTATGTCAACATCAGTGGGATTAAACTAATACATATAAATTTAAAAGGTCACAGACTTGTAATTCCTTAAATATCACAGAATCACAGAATTGTAGGGGTTGGAAGGGACCTCCAGAGATCATCGAGTCCAACCCCCTGCCAAAGCAGGTTCCCTACAGCAGGTCACACAGGTAGGCATCCAGGCAGGTCTTGAACATCTCCAGAGAAGGAGACTCCACCACCTCCCTGGGCAGCCTGTTCCAGTGCTCCGTCACCTCACTGTAAAGAAGTTCTTGCGCACATTTGTGCAGAACTTCCTATGCTGCAGTTTCCAGCCGTTTCCCCTTGTCCTGTCTCCACTCACCACTGAAAAGCGTCCGGCCTCGCCATTCTGCCCCCCACACCTTAGATATTTATAGACCTGGATCAGATCTCCTTTCAGTCTTCTTTTCTCAAGGCTGAACAGACCCAGATCACTCAGCCTTTCCTCATAGGAGAGATGCTCCAGGCCCTTCACCATCTTTGTGGCCCTCCGCTGGACTCTTTCCAAGAGATTCCTGTCTTTTTTGTACTGGGGAGCCCAGAACTGGATGCAGTGCTCCAGATGAGGTCTTACCAGGGCAGAGTAGAGGGGGAGGATCTGCTGGCCACGCTCTTTTTAATGCACCCCAGGATGCCATTGGCCCTCTTGGCCACAAGGGCACACTGCTGGCTCATGGCCAACCTGTCATCCACCAGGACACCCAGGTCCCTCTCTGCAGAGCTCCTCTCCAGCAGCTCATCCCCCAACCTGTACTGGTGCATGCAATTATTCCTCCCCAGATGCAGACTCTACACTTGCTTTTGTTAAACCTCATCGTTTTTTTTCTGCCCAGTTCTCCAGCCTGTCCAGATCTTGCTGAAGGGCAACACAGCCTTCAGGCGTGTCAGCCAATCCTCCCAACTTCGTATCATCAGCAAACTTGCTGAGGGTGGCCATTATCCCCTCATCAAGGTCATTGATGAAGATGTTGAACAAGGCCAGACCCAGCACAGACCCCTGAGGAACACCGCTGCTTACAGGCCTCCAACCGGACTCTGCACCAACAACAACCCTCTGTGCTCTGCCAGTCAGCCAGTTCTTAACCCACCTCACTGTCCACTCATCTATCCCACACTTCCTCAGCTTTGTTATAAGGATGTCGTGGGGGACAGTATCAAATGCCTTGCTGAAATCAAGGTAGACTACATCCACTGCTCTCCCCCTATCCACCCAGCCAGAGACAACATCATAGAAGGCTACCAGGTTGGTTAAGCACGACCTCCCCCTGGTGAACCCGTGCTGACTACTCCTGATAACCTCCTCTTCTTCCAGTTGTCTGGAGATGACATCCAGCACAAGCTGTTCCATCACCTTTCCAGGGACAGAGGTGAGGCTGACTGGCCTATGATTGCCTGGGTCTTCCTTCTTGCCTTTTTTTTGAAGACCGGGGTGATGTTGGCTATCTTCCAGATATTCTTCTGGAATCTTGTGCCATTATTTTAAATATCACTATTGTAAACTATAAAGAGAATTCTTTTGTACCCTAAAACAGAGCATTTAATTCCCCGTTCTCCTGAAATACTTTTTTCCAAAAAATATTGGTTTGATACAATAAAAAAGAAAACCCACATAATAGAATTCAAAAAACTACACTTTACTCTTACTTCATGTATGTGATGTATGTGCAGTTATTTCCTTTTTAATTAATGTGTTCTTTGCTAACAATAAACTGCAAATATTAATACTAATCAGTTTGAAAGCCAATTTCTGGCACTGCAAAACCATAAGAAACCACTGCCTAAGTTTTTAATTCTGAATAAAGAGTCTTAATCACTGAAATTAGAACACTGAACCAGCGTTTAACCATCCTTAATTCAACATAAATCAGTGACAAGTCCAAGGTGCATGTAATGCAAGTTAGTCCAAAGACTGCACAGTTCTACACCTCTCATTGAGAGGTCTCAATATCATCATCAGCTCTCAACATCAAAGAATCTTTCAGAGAATAATAACAGTAAATATTTTTAACATTGACAAATTTGATTTATCTTTCATAATTTTACCCTTAGGAAATGCCAAGATACTTTAAGCAACATACATCATTTAATTCATGGACAGAGGCCACTAGTCAACAATCTCTTTCCAATTAGCTACAGGTTAACTAAACCATTAATGGTGACAGACTATATCTGTTAGTGCTACAAGGACAACTGCTTCAAAGTTCTGAATGTAGAATCATAGAATCAACTCGGGTTGGAAAAGACCTTCAAGAACATCAAGTCCAATTATGACCTAACCACACTACCCTAACTCTTAATGACCTACTGCTAAATCATGTCCCCGAGCACCACATCCCAACGGTTTTTAAACACATTCAGAGATGGTGACTCAACCTTCTCCCTGAGGAGCCTATTCCAGTGCTTGACAACCCTTTAAGTAAAGAAGTGTTTCCTAATATCCAACCTAAACTTACCCTGGCACAATTTGAGGCCATTTCCCTTCATCCTGTCACCAGTGAGAAAAGACCAACTCTCTCCTGGTAAGCTCCTTTCAGATATTGGAAGAGAGCAATAGAGTCTCCCCTCAGTCTCCTTTTTCCCCACATTTAACAGCCCCAGTTCCTTCAGTCTCTCCTCCTTATTCTCCAAGTCCTTCAGAAGCCTTGTTGCCCTTCTTTGGACCTGCCCCAGCACCTCAATGTCCTTGCTGTACAGAGGTGCCCAAAACTGAACACAGTAACCAAGGTCAGGCCTCACCAGTGCCAAGTACAGGGGCAGTATAACTTCCTTAGTCCTGCTCACCACACCACTCCTGACACAAGCCAGGATGCCAATGGCATTCTTGGCCACCTGGGCATGCTGCTGGCTCATATTCAGCTGACTGTCCATCAGAACACCAAGGTCCCTTTCCATCAGGCAGCTTTCCAGCTTCTCCTCCCCAGGCCTGTAGGGCTGCCTGCGGTTGCTGTGACCGAAATGTACAATCCTCAACTGGGGTTGTTGTGACCAGTGTGCATCCTCAACTAAAAAAACTGCATGTATTACATTAATAGATTTTCATTTTTAGTTTATTCTGCGACTTCTGAATGGGCACCAAAATCTATTAACCTCATACTGAATATACCTATACTACAATCACTGTCAAATGGAATTTAGTTCACAGAATATAATTTAAGCAATGCTTTAATAAAAGAAATTTAAAAAAGAATTGTCTACACAAAAAAAATTTCATTAACAGGATGCAGTCTAATTCTGTTTGCATGCTTGCTAAAAGTTGGATGATCAACTTTTTTCACACATCAGTGTGAATTGAACCAGCAGATTTAACTGTAATTTAGATATTCACTTCTAAGATGACAGGAAAAAAGTGACTAAATATGGGAGAATTCCCCAAAACAAACTCAGTTTTCCTTCTGTTTTACACTAACAATTTCCATTCAACTAATAAGGGCCTACAATCACCAGTCTTTCCTTATCAAAAAGGGTTTTTAAACAAGGTTTAAACAAGCTCCCTCCCATCTCTTTTTAACCTGTACTGTCTTATTAGTTAAGTTCACCAGGGGAAAGTCATGCTTAACCATTCTGGTAGTCTTCTATGATGGAGAGATAGCATTGCTGGAAGAGGGAAAGGCAACCGATGTCATTTAGCTGGACTTGAGCAAGGCCTTTGACATGGTCCCTCACCACATCCTTATCTCCAAATTGAAGGGATGTGGATTTGATGGGTGGACACTCGATGGATAAGAAACTGGTTGAAAGGCCAAAGACAGAGGGTGGTGATCAATGGCTCTATGTCCAGGTGGAGGCTGGTTACGAGAGGCATCCCCCAGGCGTCTGTCCTGGGACCAGCGCTCTTTAGCATCTTTATCAATGATGGAATCGAGTGCACCCTCAGCAAGTTTGCTGATGACACCAAGCTGAGTGGTGCAATTGACTCAGTGGAAGGAAGGGACTTGAGAGGTGGGCCTGAGTGAACCTAGTGAGGTTCAACATAGCAAAGTACAAGGTTTTGCACTTGGGATGGAGGAGTCCAAGGCATTTATACAGACTGGAAGGAGCAGCCCTTGAGAGCAGTCCTGCAGAGAAGCAACTGGAGGACCTGATGGATGAAAACTTAACATGAGCCAGCAGTATGGTCTTGCAGCTCGGAAAGCAAAGGGCATCCTGGGCTTCACTAGAAGAGGAGCAGCCAGCAGGGACAGGGAGGTGATTGTTCTCTTGTGAGGCCTCATCTGGGTTACTGCATTCTGGTCTGGAGCCCCCAGTACAAAAAAGACAGGCAGCTGTTGGAGAGGAGAGCCACAGAGATGATCAGGGGACTGGAGCACCGCTCTACAAAAACAGGCTGAGGGAGCTGGGCTTGTTTAGCCTGGAGAAAAGAAGGCTGAGGAGTGACCTCATTGCAGCCTTTCAGTACCTAAATGGAGCCTACAAACAAGAGGGGAGTCAAACCTTCACAAGGGTAGATAATAGCAGGACAAGGGGAAATGGTTATAAGTTGAGGGAGGGAAGATTTAGGTTGGCTGTCAGGGGGAAGTTCTTTACAGAGAGAGTAGTGAGGCAACAGGCTGCCCAGAGAGGTTGTGGATGCCCCGTCCCTGGAGGTGTTCAGGGCCAGATTGCATGGGGCCCTGGGCAGCCTGGTCTGGTATTAAATGTGGAGGCTGGTGGCCCTGCAGGTGGCAGAGGGGTTGGAGATTCATCATCCTTGAGGTTCCTTCCAACCTGGGCCATTCTGTGATTAAGTCAAAGTGGTATTTTAAGCCTGGTTTCTGAGTAAAATGTTAACAGAGCTGTTTTTCAGTCATCTTTAACACAGCCACAATAGATTTTGAATCTCTTGGCCAAAGCCCTCAG